CTTGTGTGGAAAAAGGCTTTCCTTTTCTCCTCACCGGTAACCCAAGGATGATACTCGCCTGTCTCAGGAAGGCTTTGAGAAGCCTCATTCATGCGTGCTAAGTGCCCTGAGATCTGTGCATGGAAACTTTTCTAGATAAAAAAGTGTCACTAATGACCCTGACCAGACAGTGCGGTGGCTTTGTCTCAATGGCAGCACAGAGATCTCTAACCTTGCTGCTGAATAGGGCCACAAAGAAATTGGAGCCCGGGCCATTATTCTCTCTCGTCATTCCTTTGTCTTCCTAGGCACTGAACCGTTGAGATAAATTATTAATACACCAGCACTTGCACCTGAGCAGCTGCCTTGGGACGCTGCTGTGAATAATAACAGGTGGCTATTTTTAACCCTACCTCTTGTTACCTGAAGGCCTGGAGCCATAGTTTCTTTTGACTTCTCAGGATCTCCGCCACCCTGCCCATGTGTATGCCCACTGGGGTGGGGAAGGGTTTGCTCTTCCTATCCTAACAAAAATGCAAGCATGAGGGATTTACAGTTCCACACCACTGTGCTGGGGATAGCCAGGCTGCAAGCTCAAAGCACAAGCCACCAGCCACTAGAGGTAAATGAGACTCGCTGGGCATACTTTTACATGCACCTAAACTTAATGCACATTTGCTTAATGTGCATTAAGGTGATTTAGGTGTGCATCTACACATGCACACACTAATGTGCATTAATGCAGTGTGTGGACCAATTTGAGATTAAATTTAGTCCAGAATCAGTCGACATACACAGTGTTAATGCGCCTTAATGCTGTATATGCCATGTGCACATTGCTGTGTATGTCACACACGTGTGTCAATGCTCCGTCTACACATGCATGAATGTGCTTTCACTTTTGCAGGTATCAAATGTAGGCGTGAATAGCTCAAAATTGCCATTTTTAAGGTGGATTAAGGGCACACACGTGTAGACCCATGCCCTTAATGCGCCCTACAAATTTCTAACGTGCCTTAAATTGGCACATGTAGATGCGCCCGCTGTTAGCAATACAGGACTTAGGGTACATAATAGAGCCATTTCAGTGCCAACCAGCAGAGGACAGTTGTACTAAATCAGGATGCACAGCCTTCCCTTCTCTCACGCTCTCTTTGCACAGACAATAATAAAAACTGCACACAAGGGGAAAAGCAGTATATAGCAAAGCCCAGGTCAAGCCTACACAAGCCTACATCTAGCACAGCAACTATTGCTACAGTACCAAACACTATTGCTACAGTACCAAGCCTATATAGCAAAGCCCAGGTCAAGCCATGACTTGTGTGCTGCGTGTGTGGGTTTAGGGGCCATACTGTAACCCCACAGATGCACCGTGAAGTGGCTTCTAATACAACGGACTGCCTGCTGACTCCCTGCTTCATCGGACGCTCTTATGTTTTTTGGCTGATAACGAAGGCTCGCTCCATTCATTCTCACGTGTATCAGGCCACAATGTATTATCTGTTGCAAAGAGAGGAACAGCACTGGCAGTTAATGTCAGGGTCAGATAATGTTTCTAAACTGTCCCAAATGTCCTCTTGCAACTAAATCCTCCAGCCAAATAACAAGCATCCCATTGTCTTGTCTGCTCATGTGTCGTCCTAACAAATGCCTGTCCTTTGCTTTTACAGCACCCATCAATTCGTTCCAGGTGCTGCGATTTTTCTGTACACACACACACACACACACACACACACACACACACACACTCTTCAACTTATTCCTGTGTGTTTGGTCTCCTGCACAGACCCCATTTGGCACTTCTTGGTTTCTCAGCTATAAAAATGTATGTCTCGGTCTGCTCTCATTGCTATCAGTGGTAAACTCATAGGAGCATCTGTGGAAGCATTAGTCCTTCTATTGTTGCTGCTACTGTTCTACCGTGTGGGTATCCAGGACCCTAGGTGTGCATGGGACTTGCCAGAGATAAGGATTTGGGGTCAGCTCCTTAGGGGAACCGGAGCTTTCTATTCCCTCTGATCCTGCAGGCTGCTCAGAGCAAGATGAGGTGTCCAGCCCAAGGCAAGGTAGCCTCATATAGATGCTCTAACTTGCATTGGCTGGAATAGCCTTCTGTGGCTTTCCACTCAGCCTGGTCAATGCATTATGCCTACACTCTCTAAATATGTCCTCTCCGCGATCAGGACCAGGAGCAAGTGTATAGTCACCGGTGCTGGGATCATGTCACCTGGGAGATTTCCTTATATAAAGAAATCTGCAGCAAGCTCATTACAGCAGCTTTCTGTCTGCTGCATCAACAGAAGAGCCAGAGGCAGAGACCAGAATCTACTCAATGGTCCTGATTCAGTATATTTTGATGGTGCTGGTTCTCCGCCATCAGACGGTTGGTAGGAATACTTGCACTGTTTCTATTCTGATTCAGGGACATTTTCTTTCGACCAAGCCTGTGCATACATTTACAATACTGCAGCATACAACATATGGAGAACCAGGTTCAGACGCACTGTCCCAGTCATCTTCCACCCTGGGTCAGCTCCGGCCCTAGGCTGGAGGCACCATAGAGGATCAAGGAGGGAAGATGCACTGACATCGTGCATTCACTTGTGTTACATGTTACTTTTACAGCCCATTAGCCTCGAATTGCAAAGATCAGCTTGGGAGTCTGAGACCCCAGGCCTGCTTCTCCTTCCAGTAACATGAGTGCAGCCCCATTGAAGTTACTGCTAGGAAGAGGAGAATGAATCCCGTCCTAAGAGAGATCAGGGAAAGGGACGGGGTTGAGGAGGGATGAAGGGGGAAAGAGGGTGAAGGAGGCTTCAGAGCATAGACTCATAGAAAATGAGGGTGGGAAGGGACCTCAGGATGTCACATCATCCAACTCCCTGCGCCAAGCAGGACCAGCCCCAAGTAGATCATCCCAGCCAAGGCTTTGTCTAGCCGGGTCTTAAACACCTCCAAGAATGGAGAATCCACAGTCTCTCTGGGTAACTTGTTCCTAGTGAGAGAGTTTTTCCTAATATCTGACCTAAACCTCTCTTGCTGCAACTTGAGCCCATTGCAATTTGTTCTGCCATCTGCCACCACTGAGAGCAGTCCAGCCCCATCCTCTTTGTAACCCTCCTTGTGCAGGGCAGAAAGTTTCCAGCTATACAGAGCAGCAAGAGAGGAAGCAAGATGGACATGAAGTGCAGGCTGCAGAATTGATGTAACTCAGCATCTGAATATAGGTACTTGGCAAGAGGTTCTCCATTTACTCCAGTTTTACACTGGTCAAGCTCCACTACTTCGTTTAAGCCAAGGGAAGAGAAGAGAAGCTGAGATAGAGAGGAGGGGAAGGAGGGGCAGGAGCATGGAAACCTTGGAAAACGAAAAGCAGGACATTCAATCCGATGTGGAACGAAAGGCAGCAGCGGTAACAGGGACAAAGGAGTGGCATGAATACCCTCCAGGATTCAGAGTGACACCAGCTGTGAAGCAGATCTCAGCAGTCTCCAGGCAGACCTGATGCTGATATGTAACCTGACAAAGAAACCAGATACCTTTGTGGTGCTCACTCATTTGTTCAGGCAGCCAGCCCATGTGCTTACTGCTTTGAAGGGGATCTGCTCCCTCTAGCGGGATGAAATGTGAACGAGACCTCTGACGGACTGTGTTACACAGCCGATAATATCCTGCATGGATGTTTATTCATGCCATCCTCATCACCGCTGCTTCCTTTTATAAAAGCCTAGACTTCCCAGTCCAGCACCAGAGAGCTGTTGTGCTAGGAGACATGCACATACACTGAAAACAATCCTTCCTTCCTTCCTAAGGGCAATTACAATAAATAAAACACAATGCAACAAATGCATCCGGGTGTTTTTAAACCATCATTCAGAGGCATCGGTGTTGGCTGCAGCCAATGCTGGGGAGGTTGACTGGGTTGTGCCAGTGCTCCTGGTGGGACATCAAGCCAGAGGTTCCTGGACGGAGGGTCTGGCCCCGCCGCTCAGGGTCAGATGGATTTGGGGTCAGGCAGGAACTTTACCCCCTGGTCAGATTGGTATGAACTGGGGGGATTTTTGCTTTCCTCTGTAGCTGGAGGGATTGGCCCTCTACTTGGGACCTCTCAATGGTATATTAACAACCTTTTGTAGAAGCAGGATGTGCTGCCATGGTCCTCCTGCTTTACCTGTGACAGGTTAGGCTCTGACATCCTGTGCTGTCAGGGATGACGGTAGCATTGGGAAGAGTTTAGATGATGGATTTGTACAGGATGGTTTGGATAGGGATGGTCCTGTCTCAGGCAGGGGGTTGGACTCAACCTTTTGCCCCAGTGCCTGGTTCGACGGCTGGCTGGATACTGGTTCCGATCCAGTGCCCGGGTCCAGCATGGCAGCCACTATTTGGCCACGCAGAGGGGGGCCTGAGCCCAGCCCTTCAGGGGTGCGAAGGGGGCAGGGATGTGACCCAGCCCCAATCTGGCCCAGGGAGGAGGTTGCATGGTCCAGCTTTTTGGGAGCAGGGGGTGTGGACTGGTTTCAACCCAGCAGGCAAGGTGTGCAGGGCTTGGGGTTTGGGAATTTGGCAGGAGGAAGTGGTATAAATGACCACCACTCCCTTGCTGCCAAATTTGCTGATCCATGCGGAGCCCCACAAGCCAGATGCTATGCCTCCATGGGTCCCTGCCCCAGGACCACCCATCCAGGGCCTGCTTCTCCCAGCATGCACCCTGCCAGGACCACAACTCCCAGCATGCAACGCCCCCGTCTCTGCGCAGACTCCATTGAGCTTAATGGAGGATGGGGCGGAGACTACACGTCCCACAATGCCCCTCGCCCCACGGATGCGGCCGAACCCTGCCCCAGCGACTTCACGTTCTGCGCGCGCTGATTGGCTGGAGCGCTGGAATGTTGGCTGCCAGGCCGGCTTCCTCTCCCATTGGCCGGTGGCTCCCGGGCTGGCCAATGGGAGCAGGCGGAACTTTGGCGTCTGGCGGGAAAATGTATCGAGTTTTGGCGCCAGGGGGCGGAGCCGGTCGCAGCGCGCGGGAAACGGCAGCATGGCGCTCCCCGCGGCCGGGCTGGAGGATGCGGAGTTGCGGGAGGCGCAGCGGGACTACCTGGATTTCCTGGATGATGAGGTGGGGAGCGTCTTTGCAGGGGTCCGCTTCGTTAATTATCACCTCTAAATTAATTCTTCCAGCCCCTAGCAAGCCCTGGGCCCTCCTGATCACCCCCCTCCTGGCCCTGGCGACATTTGTGATCTCTGCTCAGGAAGGAGGGTCCGGCCGGGAGGACCCTGGAGTCTGCGGGGCCCCTTTCCTGTCCCTCCTCTCAGAGCAGAGTTGCACTGGGCAGTGTCCACGGGCCTCTTGGACTCATAACCTTGCTCCCATCCCTGTTTTCTCTCTAGTTGACCCCCAAAAATTAATTGGTGGGCACCCAGTATCCCCCCCTAATAATGTGGGGGCTAGCCACTGCTCTGGGGGAGTCAAATTCATGTTAACTGTTTGCATGAAGCAGGCCTGTATCGCACTGGATGCTGGACGGGAGAGTGAACTGGGTCTGACCGGGGTTTTTGCCCCCCCCAACTCTTCCTCCCTCACTTGCAGCCTCCAGCATTTCCAGTCCAGGAAGGCGTGAGTCTGAGGCTCCCCCCCTCACCCCCCTGCCGAGGTCCCTTTGCTCCAAGTGGGGGCCCAGTCCCTTTTTGAATCTGGTAAAACTCATCTCCTACATCTGGGGGCAACAAGTCCACACTTGAGTTACAGGCGGGGTGAAAAGTAACTTCCTTTTCGTGGCTGCAAACTTGCTACTTTCATTTTGTGACCCCCCTCCCCCCAGCTCTTGTATGGTGAGATAGCAAATCCCTATTGACTTTCTCTTCACCATTTAGTATTTTGTAAATCCCACCCCCACCTCAAGCATCTCCTTTCTAAACTGAGCCTGGCTTCTTTAGTCTTTCCTCATATGAAAGCCCCTCCATGCCACTCATCAGTCATCCTTGTTGCCCTTTTCTGGGCTGTCTCTAGTTCTGATATCACCTTTTTATGGTGAGGGTCCCAGAACTGGGCATGGTATTCGAGGTGTGGACACAGCATGGGTTTGTAAAGGGTATAATGGTACTTTTTATTTTGTTTGCAATTTGTTTGCAATTTCCTTCCAGGCACCTCCTCAGTTGGCTGTCTCTTGTAACCTTTTTTTTTTTTTTGCCTACAGATAGTCATAGATCTGCACCAACAATTTTTCTGTTGCAAAGACCTCAGCCTACAACAAGGCAGAGTGCTTGCAATGTTCTGGATTCCTCTTTGAGATCTCTTAAGTTTTGTATGTCATGAATCATGTTGGCAGATAATGTCAAGGGTGGATCTAGGATTTTGAAAGGGGGATGCAGGTGGTTGTGTCATCCTGCATAACATCGCGCACAGTTTTCTCCAGGGAAAAAGAAACTTTATGAATATGCTCAGGGCCCAAGGCTATATTATTCAGTTTAGCAAGAACAAATGTAACTTCATTGGAAGGAGTTAAAAACAGCCTGCAGGGCTGTGAAAGAAGGGCTCTGTTAGCAGGAGCAGCTCCACAATTGCAGAGCAAAGGGTAGCTTGGTTGGTGGAACATCAAGACCATTAAAAAAGAGGGTCGTTAACACCTGTGGAAGAAGAGTTTAGAAGAAATCAGGTAGAATATAATGAGCCATGAAATCAATTGGCTCCCTCAGCGCTGCTTGACCAGAAATGCTGCTATCACTACCAGGCAGCTTGTTTTAAACCTTGGCTGGAGCAAGAAGAAAAGGTGGGGGACACTGCACCCCCCTGGATGTGCCTCTGAACAGTGCTAAGCTTGTGTGGCACCCTTAAAAAAAAGCACAAGGCACCCCATGGAGCTGCAGCACCGTGGTTGAGAATCACTGATCTAAGCTAAACACAACATTGCACTGCTTTAAGGGAGGAATGACACCAGCACAGTTGCATATAGTTAATCAACTAAGGATTTTGGGGGTGCATATAGAGTATAGGGGAGGGAGTTGAGAGCATGTTCATAATCCTGGCCCTTCCTAACCACCAGGGCATTTGGGGATTGGTGGCAGTTTGGGGCTGGCAAAACCACTGCAGGTTTCTGGAATCAAGCATGTTGCCGTCTAAGCTGGACTGCGCTCTCGCCTTGTGTCTTTTGCAGGAGGATCAGGGTGTTTATCAAGGCAAAGTCCGGGACATGATCAGCGACAACCAGTATCGGCTGATCGTCAGTGTCAACGACCTGCGGAGGAAGAATGAGAAGCGAGCCAGCCGGTACGTGTGGCCTGCAAAAAGGATTGGGAAACAAAGGGAGTCCAGCATCCCTCCAGCTGCACAGCGCTGTCCTCTGCATGTTGGGTTTAGAAGCGACACGGGGAAAGGCATCCCAAGTGCTATAGGATCATAGAAAAGGAGGGCTGGGAGGGACTTCGGGAGGTCATTGTGTCCAACTCCCTGCTCGAGGTAGGATCATCCCTATCTGACCCAGTCAAGTGTTTGTCGAACCTCTCCAGCATCCCAACAACTGGAGATGCACAGAGAGGAACCTGGGAAATCTGTTGGCTGTCCTGGTAGAAAACTTTGCAGACAGGCCAAAGGGTTAAGCTGTTCTCCCTCCCTCTCTCCAAGGCTGTCTTTTCAGTGGCAAAAAAGGATTGTCTTTGGAGGAGAGGTGCAACACGTGTGCTTCTTGTTTTCTGCACTTGTACTCAACTCATTTAAGGAAGCAGCGGGCCGTGGTCGGTGTACTTTCCTGGGTAGCTCCATCCAGCTCCCTTGTTAACCCCTGACCTCACTTCCCTCCCTGTTTTCTTTATTTGCTCCAAGAAATCAGTTGATGTGCCCATAATGACCTCCCTTTTTAAGGGGAGCTTATACTTTTCCTTGGTGAACTTAGACCCAAGATCTCCTTGGCACATCAGGTATGCCTATTTTATGTACTTGCATCTCTCAGACAAGGAAGGAGGCTCTAGCCAGGTTGAACTCGCATGGCTGTGGGGCCATCTTCTCATCACTCCTCTGCTCACATTTCCAGGTGCAATTTCACTGGATGGCATCCACTGGTTCCTTACACTTGTTTGAACATTGGTGGGTGCTGGCCACTCGGTATCCCCACTCAGATCCCTTCTTAATAACCTAAGACCAGCACTCTCATCCCTGTATTCTCTCTTGTTGTCCCCTGTAATTAGTTGTTATGCATCTAGTGACCTCCCTGAGAGGGGCCTGTAGTTGTCTTAGCAGGCCTAGAGCCACTGTTCCCTATTACACAACAAATAGGCCTGTCTTTCTGTAAGCATCTGTTGGAGACTAGTTCCAGGTTTTCTGTTGCAAGGGAGTAGGGAACTATGTGTACCTTGTCTCCACTGGGATGGCACAACAAGAATGCTAAAGCGGGTTAATACGTTTAAAACAGCTTGCTTTAGATGCAGAGAGGTCTCAAGTGTGATTTAAAAGGCCACAATCTCTCCAGTTCAGACTGCACTGCGCAGCTTTGCCAGCTTCTGCGCTCGGCTCTTGTGTAGCGGCAGAGCCCTCCCTTCTGTGGCTGGCAGTCTCCCCACTTCTGCCGAGGGTTGCAGAAAGTGTATATGGATGCCTCCATCCAGGTGCTGGGTGCATTCAACTTCCAGTGCCCTTGACTGTGCATATGCCTGGGGTGGGCAAAATGGTGGATCCAGACAGGCATACAGCTGGGTGGGGATCCTGATCCGGCTTGTGGACTGGATTTTTCTTTCCCCCGGTGTACACCCTGGTGCCTTGGTTGTGGTGTCTGCTCATTGACAGCAGAGGGGTATAGTAGTTGAGGCCAGGAGCTCCTGTGAGCCTTTTGATTCTCAGTGGCAGGTTGCATCCTGTTCTCTTGCTTTGTACCTGGTGTCCCAGAGGAAATGAAGGTTCAGGGTGTGGTGCATTTGTTTGCTCTGTTCTCCCGGCCTTTTTGCTCCATGAAGGTACTGGGACTTACTCCCGCCTAAAGGAGGTGCCTTCTTGCTGTGGCTGTGCTGGCCGGGTCGTCCTCTTCACAGCAGAGGTGACCACCCTCCTCTTGCTGTAGGCTCCTGAATAACGCCTTTGAGGAGCTGCTCGCCTTCCAGCGGGCCCTGAAGGACTTTGTCGCCTCCATCGATGCCACCTATGCCAAGCAGTACGAGGAGTTCTACATTGGGCTCGAGGGCAGTTTCGGTGCCAAGCACGTGTCACCCCGGACGTTGACATCCTGTTTCCTCAGCTGCATTGTCTGTGTGGAGGGCATTGTCACCAAATGTGAGTGTTAGATGGAGATCGGGCCCCTGGAGCATGACATTTGGGTGTTGGGGATAGTTAGGTTGGTCGTTAGCGGTTAAATAAGCCATGGGGCAGACGGTGGCCAGAAATGTGCCCTGTTGGGGCATGACTTTCCAGCAGGAACCCCTGGGCTGGTGTGGGCAGACACGGTGTTTTCCCTCCTCACTTCTTTTCTGCCTTCTCTTTACCCTGGCCACAGGCTCCCTGGTGCGCCCCAAGGTTGTCCGCAGTGTCCATTACTGCCCCGCCACCAAGAAGACCATCGAGCGGCGGTACACGGACATGACGTCGCTGGAGGCTTTCCCTTCCAGCTCCGTCTACCCCGTGAAGGTGAGTGCAGGGGAGGCAGCGGTGAATGCTGTCCTGCACATGGAGGCTGAGCAGCTTCTCTTGGAGATCTTGTAGAGGCTCATGCTTTAAGCATTTGAATTCCTGCTTCTTCTTTCTTCCTTTTTTAGACCTTATGGGGCAGCTATAGTCCCATACACACCCCCCATAGTCCCTTATAGCCACTGGGTAGGGACTCATCTGACGTAACCCTGTTGTGTTAAAGTGGCAGGTGGCGCTCTGCTTTGTGGCAGAGGCATGAGCAGCCCCTATTGTGGAGCCATACCCAACCGTTCTTCCTGCCACAGCTAGTGTGCAGGTACCTGAGGTAGGTTGCAATTTGGTAGGTTGTGATTCACCCTAGCTACAGGATAAGTCGCCTGTGATGAGATCTGTGGTTATATGGCTGTGGGTACCTGAGCTAACCTGACTATTTGCTACAGTGCAGTGTAGACATCCTCTCAGATGGGGTCCGGTGTTGCTCCAATTGCCCCTGGGGAGTGGAAGAGGGCTTCTAGGAACCAACCCTTTCTTTTCCTCAAAGGTCTGTCGCCTGAGACCTCTCTCCAAGTGGTCCATGGTTGCTTCTCTTTTGCATGGAGGCCTAGGTCAGGGCATGGAGAGATGCAGCTGGGTAGCACAGACAAGGTGTCTAGGATGAGAAATATTGGGTGAATTCAGACGAGTCCCTGCATCCGGCAGCTTCAGTGGAAAGGCCCTTTACCTTATCTCCCTGCCCCCCTTTCCCACTGCTGCTTCCCTTCTCTCCCTGCAAAATCCTCTTGTTCTGCTCTGGACAAAGGGGTCTCACTGCTGTTGTCTCGTCTCCTCTCCAGGATGAAGAAAACAACCCTTTGGAGACAGAGTTTGGCCTGTCTGTCTATAAGGACCATCAAACCATCACCATCCAGGAGATGCCTGAGAAGGCGCCGGCTGGGCAGCTGCCTCGCTCTGTGGACATCGTTCTGGACGATGACCTCGTGGACAAGGTGAAGCCAGGGGACCGGATCCAAGTTGTGGGGACGTACCGCTGCCTGCCAGGGAAGAAAGGGGGCTACACCTCGGGCACATTCAGGTGGGTCTGTGCCTGTCCAGCCTTCGCCTGTTTCTATGGCTGCTTTCATCCTAAAAAGGGACCCAGCATTTAGAGGGAGAAACAATTCACTTGCCCCCGAGATGCAACCACTTCCGGGGTGGTGGGTTGGAGTGAAGCTGTGGTATAGAGTTGGCATTAAGCCAGGACCCTGATGGAAACCCCTAAATCCTGTGACTGGCTTCTCTCCTGGAAGGATTGCTTTGCAGGGTGCTATGTTCCCAATGGGCATGAAGGGTAATACAAACTCTGAAGAGCAGTTTCGTGGTTCAGTTAGCTGAGCTGATGGGAGGGTGTAGGGATAAGGTTTGTCCCAGGCTCACCAAGACTCCTCCACGTGGAGAACTCGTGACGCTTGTGGAAGGAGCCCTGGGCTACTACTGGGGGCTGTAGGGCAAAGTCTGAAGGGTTACCGATGGGCTAGGCCTTTTTATAAGTGAAATGACCGAACTCCTTCTCCAGGACCATCCTGATCGCCTGCCATGTAAAGCAGATGAGCAAGGAAGTTCGGCCTCTCTACTCTGCTACCGACGTGGCCAAGATCAAGAGATTTAGCAAGAGTCGCTCAAAGGTATGAAGTTTGTCTTCAGATATGCTCTTGAGAGAGACCTAGAGGCAGAGAGCTGTGGAAGCTGGCCAGCCTGGTCTCGGTGAGGGTTGATCTTGAGGGGTGTTTTAAAGCAGCTTCCAGTTTCTAATGACTCTAACTTCAACTTCTGCCTCCTGCATTGGGGGTGGGGGGGAACTCTTCCCCAGCCTAATCGGTGATGCTGTATCTTTTTTTGCATATCCCATGAGCCAGTCTTAAACGAGTCCCTTGCTTCTCATGGATGCTTAGCATGGACACCTTCCTGTCTAGTCAGCAGTGTCTCATGCGTGCATTGTTTAAGCTGCAGGAGTCTTCTACAAGGGATGTGCTGACACTACCGTAAGGGAGGAGGTGGTGATTTTAATCTCTTAGGACTAGCACTGGGATCTGGTCTTGCACCTGAAAGCTTTAGCACTGCTAAATTAATTCAGGTCTGTGTGGGAAGAATTCTCCACTGAGAATAGATGTCTGGGGCTATCTGCAAACACACCCAGCATCCACGTCAGGCTCTCGGTTTAAACCATGTGCCTGTGCTGGGGTGGGGGCAGCAGGGACTGGGTCACAGGCGGGTTCTCCACCCCCCGGTTGATTTGGGCTGGTCATGATCTGCCATGTGGGGATATGCCCTGGCCCTGTGCTGTCACTGCCCTGTGATCCTGGCCCCAGCTCCACTTGCCTGTCCCGTGGAAACCCTGCTTGCCTGCCTGCTCCACCTGGTGCCCCCGGTGGTGGGTGCGGACAGGATGGGCCCAGCGGCGGCGGTGACACTGGCAGTGGCAGCAGGAAGGAGCCACCGCTGCTGCAAAGTGGAGTCCAGCTGGCGTGTGCCCCCAGCCCCCTGTGCCCTTGGCGGCGGGACCAGCTGCACATACCATGGTTTGGGCTGGCTCCCTGCTCCTGAGCTGAATGGGGCTGAGGGATCCACTGCAGGCCAGATAAGATCCCTTGGTGAGCTGGATCTGGTCCATGGGCTGTTTTGCACACCCCTGGCTTAGTCCCATGTTGAAAACGATTCCCTTTTGTCGTTTTTGGAGGGAGGTGTGGTTTAAAAGACAGATTCTCTTTCC